GGGCCCGTGGGGCCCTGCAGCCTCCGTGTTCTGGGGCCCACGCGCCCTCAATATCCCCTTCCGAGGGGCGCGCCCTGAAAATAAATGCTCCATTCTCCTCAGGCCCTTCTGGGTGACCCCGCAAATCGCCTCCCCCCCGCCCCCAGCTTCGCGTTCACATCCAGGAATGGGCTCATCTCTAGGCTTCGCTGCGGGCGTGGTGATGCTCAGATGCCTGACGAATGGAAACGATGAGGATGCCGGGCTGGGGGCGCCCTTGTCCTCCACCATGGCCGGGCTTGGAACCCCTAGCTCTGGAGGAGGCGCAGGAGGCAGCAGCCCCATGGGCTCAACTCTGGGAGCTTGAGTGGCCGCGCGCCCAGTTCGCCAAGGGACATGATCTTCATCTGTCCTCGCTCCCTGGGAGAGTAGTTTATGGGGACAAAAAGCAAATGGTGGAGAGGGCGGAGCGTGTGGTTTACATTTGTCCCAATTCCGCAGCTCAGTCGGCCCGCATCTATGGAGCCAGGGTCCGACCTGGAGAGCTCGCCTCGGGAAGGCCTGGGGAGGGTCCTCCATGACAATGCCTCCTTCCTCTAACTGGTGCCCACACCCGGCGTCCCCTTACCCTGACCCCAGCCCGGGGCTGAGTGGGGTAGGGAGAAGCCTTCGGTCCTGCATGGACGGTGAGGGTCTGGTCACAGCTCCTGCTGCTTGGAACTTGGACTTAGACCTGCTTCCCCAGCAACCCGGGAGAGTCCTGGCATCAGCACCAATGGGCTGCAGTTCACACTTGTCCTTCACACCCTCACTTCATCTGTGGATGGAAGTGTTATCTTCACAGTTTGGCTCCGTGGATGGCAGCTGATGAGGCCCACGGCGCTAATGAGCTCTCAGGCCGCTCCACAGCCAGGATCCTCAGAGGCTGTCTCTGACAGATAACAGTGGCACTGGGGGAGCCAGGGCTTCCATGAGACGCAAGAAGCAGGAAATCTGAGGTCTGGGGAGGAGAACTGAGGGGAATGAGTGGTGGCAATCGAGGCGGGAGGAATCTTCACCCACCTTCGCACTGCAGTCATAACTATATTTCTAAGTTCCCTGTGCAGAGCCTGGGCTACAGTAAGAACACATTTATGAAAGT